GCCATGAGGGCCAGCTGCTGGCCGAAGCAGCGCCCGCGTCTTCGATGGATCCCCCGAAGCAAGAGCAAGCAACATCTACTGACCGGCGTGGACCCCAAAGCGTGAGTTATTGCACTGGGGAGATGCGAGCTGTGCGGATACATAATGTGGTATGAACTATGTTGGGCAAACTATGTCCAGCATATATTCTAGCATACTGGGCTCCTGCCTGGCAATGAGAACTGGTGATCGGAGACCTCCGCTTGCTTTTCTGATTCGGCTGGTGTTCGTTACTAATTTGCTGATGGGGTTGCCGCTGATGCGGCTGCTGCTGAAGTCGCCACTGCTGCTCATGATGCGGCTACTGCTCATGTCGTCGTTGCTGTCCATGCGGATGTGGTTCCCCACATTTGTTTTAACATTGAACGAGTTCTTACCTGGCAATAAAACTTGGTGTTCGGACACCTATGCCGACAGTACTAATGCGGCTGTTGATCGTTACTAGCTTGCTGATGAGGTTGCCAGTGATGTGTCCGCCGCTGAAGTCGCCATTGCTGCTCATGGTGCGGCTGCTGCTCATGTCGCCATTGCTGTTCATATGAGTGTTATGTTATTGTGCTCATGATGCGGTTGCTGTTCATGTCGTTGCTTATCATGTGATTGTGAAGCTGCTGTGGCTGTTGATATGAATAGTGCTGTTGGCTTGTTTTAGTGATCCTTCTTGGTTCAGTTCCCCAGTATGGTCTAGCCTACAAGAGGTCTTGACTGGCCTTGAAAATGTGCTCCAATTCCAGCTCCAACTCCAACTCCTCCTCCCTCTCAGACACCCCTCCCTCCCTCCTCCGCATCCTTCCTCCCTCCTCCTCCTTCCTCCCTCCTCCTCCCTCCTCCCTCCTCCTCCTCCTCCTCCTCCTCCTCCTCCTCCTCCTCCTCCTCCTCCTCCTCCTGCGACACGCCGGAGCTGTCCTCTGGGAAGAGATCCGACGCGTCCGTGCAGGGCCCCCACTTCAGGTTGCCGAACGCAGCCTCGCGGGCCGCTCCGCCCCCCTGCTCTGGCCGTCTCGTGGCGCGCGGGGCCGGGCCCCTCCAGCTCCGAGGCGGGGGCCCGAGGACGGAGCCTCGAGGATGGAGGGCGGGGGCTCGTGGACCGAAGGTGGGAGGGGGAGCGCCTCTGGAGGGTCGGGGCGGACCGCCCCACCGCCCCCTCCCCTCGCCTGCTCCTCCCCTCTCGCCCCCCACGCACTCCCCCCCCCCCCCCGCCCACCCCACCCCCACCCCCCGCGGCGCCCCTTGCCCCCGCCGCGGCCAGGCCCCTTGCCCAAAAACATGCGGAGTCGTGTTTTTTTTTGCTTCTGTTCGCGGCGGGGCTCGCCAGAGGTCTCGACCCCTTTCCGAGGCTCGAGTCGAGAAGTCACTCTGTGACACGAGCTAGAGCCAGGCACTCAAAAGTTGCGCATCCACAGCTTGAGAGTTCTTGGGCTTCATCGGTCGCTGGCCCTTCGCCCGAGGAGGGCCAGAGGGGCCGACAAGAACGGGCGCAGGCCCTGCGTCGTGTGAAGCTCTGCCCACGGCGCGAGGATGCCAGGACCTCCTCCGCCCCCCGCGGCCGACTCGGGGAGGGAGCGGGGAGGCAGTCGGGGGACACCACTGATGAGCAACCAAAAAAAGAGCCCCTAACCCTCGGGGAGGGGGCCCAAGTTAGGAGGGCCAAACACATTAGGGATAGGTTTTCTTTTCTGCAGACGTATCAGACCAAACCGCCCAGAATTATCATCCCTAATGCGAAGACGGGGACCTCAGTGAGGCCGCGTCTTCATCGTGTCATCAGGGCCAGGGGTACTCTTTGTGCTCGATGGACTGACTCTGTATCCGCCGTACATGTCCGCCCCACTTTTCAGGCTCCCTGGATGCCGATTTCCGCCCTACTCTGTCGCTGCTGTTTCCGCCGTACCTGGAGGAGGAGGAGGAGGAGGAGGAGGAGGAGGAGGAGAACGAGGAGGAGGAGGACGAGGAGGAGGAGGAAGAGAAGGAGGAGGGATGAATGACAGGGTAAGAGGAGGATAGGACATTCCAATGTTGTGAAAGGAAGAAAAATATCAGATAACGAAAACAACAGAAGTGGTGATGAGGAGGAGGAACGCATGAGGGAACGAGGATGGGGACGGGAGGAAGGGAGGGCGAGAAAGGGAAGAGGACAAAAAGGGGAGAACGATGGAGACTGAGCGGGAGGAGGATCATCGAGAGGAAGAGGGCCCCCCTTACGTTCGGACGGGCGAAAAGCTATGGATGGCAACAAGCAGGCCCACGCAGGCAGCACCCCCCCCTCAGCCTCGCAGATTCGAAGCGCGGGCGACGGGCACTCGGACCTGCCGCCCTCGCGAAACCCTGGTCGAAACGCTCGCGAATGCACGCTAGCGCCGCGCCGGGTGGCGAACATAACTCGGGCCAAACGTGCGCTGGGAGGGCCGGCGGGAAGAAAGAGTAGAGGGCTGACGGAGGGAGGCGGAGCGGGAGATGAGGACAGACTAGGAGGAGGAGATAAAGGATCAGTGTGAGGCGGGCGATGACGGTGGCGGTGGTGGTGGTGGTGGTGATGATGATGGTAACTCATTCATTCAACCCCCACGTAATGCGTTGCAGATGCTGGAGCGCGGGTCACTGGGCCAACACAAGCCTTCGGCCAACAAGCTCCGCGTTTGAAACACCGCACGAGCATGCACCACATAGAGAGCGCGGGGCGCTATGGCGCCGGCCCCCTGAGCGCAGCCCCTCCCATAGAGCCCAGAGTCTCCACGAGGGGCAGCGCGCTCGGGGCCCTCGAAGACTGACCTCAAGGCGCCGCTCACGCCATGCGAAGTGGACAATACACCAACTCAGCCGACATATTAGCCGGCACGTCCTGATCTGCGATGGCGGACATCGTGATATCCTGGAGCACCAGCGTGACATGATCGAGCATGATTTGGTCTGTGGTCGCGAGGTTCGTAAAATCCACGAGCACAAGCGGGAACGTCTCCATCACGTCATGACTTGTGATCGCTGGCAGTGCGAAATCCAAGAGCACCAGCGTGAACTTCTCGAGCAATTCTTTATATGTGTGATGATGATGAGTTTATGACGGTGGTGATGCTGATGCTGATGATGATGCTGATGATGGTGATCTTGCGGATGATGGTGATGATGATGGTGATGCTGCCGCTGATGATGATGATAATGATGCTGATGCTGATGATGATGATGATGATGATGATGATGATGATGATGATGATGATGATGATGGTGGTGACGACGGTGGCGACGATGGGGGAGGGGGAGGCGGCGTGGGATGTGCCATGGAAATGCGAGCTGGCGCGCAGTGCGGAATGTGCCCCCGTAGCGGGAGCCTGCACGCCATTCTTCTCCTTTTCCTGGCGCGTGGTGCGAAAGGGGGGGGCACCGCCCCGGCCCCCCCTCCCGTCCCTGTTCCCGCCACCTCCCTGCCTCCACCTCCCCCTCCCCCTCCCAAAGGGTCCGTCCAGGAAGGGATCCCGCTCCCCCCCCCTCCCCCCCCCCCCCCCCCGCCCCCCCCCCGCCCCCAGGGGAAGGAACGCCCCTTGCACCTCTTCAGATGCTCTCTCCGCGGCCTTTTGCGCGCTGCCAGGTGCTGGTTGCCGAGGCGTGAGCTGGCAATCGTGACGATGTTAGTTGCACTATGAGGGAACCCCCTCTTCATCCATACCGACGTTGGAACCTCCGATCCTCCCTCGTCCCTCGTTCCGCGTCCTCCTCTTCCTCCTCCTCCTCCTCCTCCTCCTCCTCCTCCTCCTCCTCCTCCCTCGTCCTCGTCCCCGTCCTCCTCTTCATCCTCCTCCCCCTCCTACTCCTCCGCCTCCCCGTTCTCTTTCCTTCCCCTCCCACGGGAGCGCCTTTTCGTCATGTGTCTGCCAGTCTTGGACGGCCCCGGGGGTGGGACCCAGACGCGACCTTCCGAATGCTGCAAGTTGCGACAAACCCGTCGAAGCAGGCAGGGTCAGGAGATCGCACCGCATCGCCGACGTACACAAGACTAATTTTAGTCGTTTCGACGGTGTTCGTGTAGTTTCGGGTTCTAGAAATACCAGCAACGCACATGCCGCGCATTCGAATGCACTCGCACATGCAACTCTGCAAACGCCCCGGCAGCAAGGAAACATATGCACGCTGAAACCACACAGTCCGACGCAGTCTGGAAACACTCCCAAAACATCGCCGATGCAATAGCGATGTGCTGACATACGAAATCGAACTGCGGACCGCACCGCATCGCCGATGCGGCGCGGTCCTCCGACCCCATCTGCCCTCTCCCCATTCGGAATGTCTGGAACAGAAGTCCTCCTCGGGGCCAAGCGAAAACCTCGACAAGCTTCGACGAAGGACCATCGGGCCTTTGGTTCAACGTGTTGCCCCCCAAGCCAACACGACGCAAATCGCAAACCAGACCCCGGCGCGTAACCAAATGTAGTCGCCGAGCTTGGGAGGCCTACACAGGACGAGGAAGAGGAGGAGGAGGAGGAGGAGGAGGAGGAGGAAGAGAAGGAGGAGGAAGAGAAGGAGGAGGAGGAGGAGGAGGAGGAGGAGGAGGAGGAGGAGGAGAAGGAGGGGAGGAATGGGATAAGGAGGAGGAGGAGGAGGAGGAGGAGGAGGAAGAGAGAAGGAGGAGGAGGAGACGGAGACGGAGGAGGAGGAGGAGGAGGAACAGGAACAGGAACAGGAACAGGAGGAGGAGGACGACGAGGAGGAGGAGGAGGAGGAGAAGGGAATGGAGGAGGAGGAGGAGGAGGAGGAGGAGGAGGAGGAGGAGGAGGAGGAAGAGGAGAGAGGAGGAGGAGGAAAAGGAGGAGGAGGAGGAGAGAAGGAGGAGGAGAAAGGAGGAGGAGGAGGAGGAAGCGGAGGAGGAGGACGAAGAGGAGGAGGGCGAGGAGGACCAGGAGGACAAGGAGGAAGAGGAGGAAGAGGAGGAGGAGGAGGAGGAGGAGGAGGAGGAGGAAGGGGGGGGAGGGGGAGGAGGAGGAGGAGGAGGAGGAGGCAGAAGAGGAGGAACTAGAATTGCGGGGCTTGGAATCTGTACCAGAGGAAGCATGGCGGCAATAAAATGTTGATTGAATTGTATGTATCAGCCGTTCAGAATACAAATACGCGCCGGTACTGAAGACACAAAACGGCACAGCATCCACTTGAGTCGGGATCGCGCAGGCGATCGAACAGCTCTGGCGGAGAAGAAGGACAGATGAAAAAGGAACCATAACTGTCCAACCCCCAACTTGTTTTAGACTCAGCAGGGATACGCCCGTCGCGGTCTGACCCAATGGCGCACGACGCGGCGGGGCGTGAGCTCGCCATTTTGACGGGTAGCTCACTCGTGCTCTTAGGGCGACACAGGAGGAGCTCGCGCGCGCTAGTGAAGGTGGCGTGAGTTCGCCCAGGCCGCATCTGTGTATGTTGGTGACCTCGGGCCGCAGACGTGGCGTCTGAAAGCCTGCCCTGAGACGCAGGCACAGCGATGGCCCGGGGGTCGCGCGCAGAGCGAGGCGGAGGTGCGAAGACGCCTTGACCTGGCAGGTTGGAGAAGACGGTGGATGGAGAAAGACCGCCAGGGATGCGCGCTCTTGCCGGCGCGATCGCCTCGAAGCCCACCGCAATGAAGAGTTGCGGGGTCCCCTCCGCCCATGGCTGAAGGCCGCTTCCTCAGCCCCTCAGCCTCGGCGCTGCCCGCGGGCGAGGGCTGGCCTGGCTCGCCAGCAACGGCCGCGCGGAAAGCCGCGCTGGCGCGCCGGCGCTTGACCTTCCCCCTGGCTGGTCGTCGTCGGTTGGGCGCGCGGGCTCGTTCCGTTTTCGCCATTGCCCTGGCCCTTGCCTTTGTCCGGCGCGGCCGCGGCGTGCCCGCGAGAGCCCGCGGGCGCCCCCCCGCCCACTTCCAGACTAGGCGCGACGCTGAAGGGCGAGGCAGGATAGGTCTCCAGCTCGAGCCGCGAGCAGCACTGCATGTCCTCGTCGAACTCCGCCTCGTGGCCCCGGGGCAAAGATGGGGAAGAGCCCCTGGCGAGATGTGGCGCCAGGGAGGAGTGCGCGGCGCGCGCTCGCCTCGTGGCGCTGGGGGGCGCGAAGGCCGCGGCGTCGGCGGCGCCGGCCTCTCGGGGCCCAGCGGGCTGCTCTCGGGCGAGGGCGCGCCAGGGACCGACTCGTCAAAAGACGCGAGAGAGCCATGCCCAAACCCGGGCCACGAGCCGAGACTGGCGCGCCCAGAATAAGCGGCACTCGGCCCACTGTGGCGCGGCCCACGAAGCAGCCCGGGCGGCGCGCATCCACGCGCTGCGCATGATCGTGGAATGGTCAAGCGGCTTGCTGTCGAGCGCCGGACGCGAGTCGGTCGCCCAACGCCCGAGAAGCCCCGCAGGCGAGCGCGGCGCGCATCTCCGGCTCCGCGGCCTGCCCTGAACACGCGCGCACGCGCGCTGTCGCGTCGGGAATCGGGTCGCTGACGCGCCGCGTCTCGATGAACCCCGCCACTTCGGGGTCGCTCTTGCTGAATGCCAGGCGACGCGAGACCTCCGCAAGTGCCGAGGGGGGCGCGTCGGGGAGTGGGGCGCTTGGCGGGGCCAGCGCGGAGGCTTTGCTGGGCGGCATCATCCGCGCGCAGGGCGCGGCAGCTGTTCGGCGCCTGCGGGGGGGCGGCGGGCGAGAGCGGGGCCGCGGCGCTGCTTGGGCCCGAGCGTGGCCTCGAGAAGCAAGCGAGGTTAAGGCGGTGCGCTGGGCGCGCCATTCTTCCGTGAACCGCTGCAACTGTCGCTGCGAATGTCGCGCTTGCCCATGTCAGACTTGGCGGGGGGCCTCATCGGGGGCGCGCAGGGGGGGTGGGCCATGACCGTCTCTGCCTTTGGGATGCCGCGCGTTGACCATGTGGCAAGAGGAGGCATCGGAGATCGAGCGCGTGGCGCGGCTCGGCCCGCGGGTGTCGCAACTGCCACTTCGTCGGATGACGGCGCTTCTTCTGCGAGCGGCGGAGAGCGCGCGGTCCGCGTGCGACGGGGCGGCGGCGGCGGCCCAGGAGGCCCTGGCGGCTTAGTCCGTTCCATGTTGGCCCGCGCGCGCGGCGGCGGGCGGCCGCCAGCGCGCGTCGACGGGCGTCGCGCGCCCGCGCGCGCGCCGCAGCGGCGGCGCAGCGCGCTCCAGCCGTTCGGCGCGCAAGCCTGCCCGCGAGAAGGCAGCTCTTGATTCTCGCGGCTACTTCCCCGCCCCGAGCGCTCGTGCACGCGCGCTCCCGCGCGCGTGCCCCAGTGCTTGCTGAACGCATCAATGACGAAACTCCAGCCAGCGACATTCTTCCTGAGCTGCCGCGCTACAACGCGCCCCCAAAACGCCGCGCGCGAGGCGAGCCTTCCGAGAGGGATGGAGACGATGAAGGGCGCCTGGTTTCGAGGGAGATGGATCACGAAACAATCCGCATACACAAACTGGTAAGTGTTAGTTGCTAAGGGTCGGCCGGCGCTCGCGGTCAAAAACCATCGCCCGCCGAAGCGCTGGCGACGGCGCGCGGCGCAGGTATGTCGACGCTGTCCTTGGCCGGCCCATCTGCGACCACATCTCGCGTGTCCTCCCAGCTCGGGGCCCAGAGGGCCCGGGCTCAGGAGGTCGCGAAACCGAAGCACGCGCGGGAATGGTGGGCGCTCTGCCGGTGGCCTGGGCCTCGCAGCCGCGACGGCGGCGACCGCTCCCGTTGAGTCCGGGCAAAATTCAATTAGCAGCCCGAGTGGCTGCTGACCATCTCGCAGGCGACGCGCTGCCCCATGGCCTCGGGGGCCCCCGAGCACCTCGCGGGGCGTGGCGGCCAGAGCGAGGCCGTGATCTGTCGAACTGATCGCGGCCCTCAGCTCACTTGCGAAGGCGCTTCGCGCCGCCGTTTTGAGCGCCCCGCGCTGCCCGCCCAATAGCGGGAATATTTGCCTGCCAATGTAGAGGCCGCGACTTATGGCCAGGGGAAGACTGCCCAAAGAATAATCGAAACGACCGCCCCAAAAAGCAGCCCAGGGGGGCCCTGGCCGACGCTCGGACGCGCTCCAGCACACTCTGCCCAGTATTATGCCTTTCTTGAGTTGCGTCTTGCTTCGAACGCTGCGCTCGGCCCGCCCATGGAAGAATCGCCCGACGCAGCGGCCGGCGCCCCCGCGGAAACACCGCGCACAAAGCCATGCCAATTGATTAATCCCCCACATCGACCCCGCCCCCCCCGCGCGCGGCCCCACACCCCCGATGCCGGTGATCGCGGGCCGCCAGCGCCGACCCCTAGTCGCACTCAGGAATCCAGCCATGGCGACGAGCCCACGGGGCGTGGCTTACCCGCGGGAACGGGGCGGAGATGTTTCGCAGATGTGTCGTGGATGTTTTTTTTTGCGTGCGTAGATGTTTCGTAAATGTTTCGTTTGTGTTTCGTATAAGTTGTTGCGGGCGTAAATGTTTCGCAGATGTTTCGTAAATGTTTGAAGACGTTTTGCCGGCGAGGCTCGCCCCGCGAGCGGATTCGGGCTCGCGCGACCACCTCGCTCGCGCATTGTAATTTACAGCGCTTCAGGCGAAGTTCGGCCCGTGAACGGAATGAGGCTCGCGCGACCACGGCTTCAGCAGATGCGACCGCGTCGTTTTCGACCCCCCAGAAATGCACCGGAGATGCTTCGTAGATGTTTCGTGTATTTTTTTTTTGCGTGCGTAGATGCGTCGTAGATGATTCGTAGATGTTTCGTAAGTGTTTCGCAGCTGTTTCGTAAATGTTTGGGTAGCCGGGGCTCGTGGGCAGGCGGGGTTCGAGCGCTCGGAGCGCCCCGCCCCCCCCCCGAGAGCTTCTGAGCCCCTCCCGCAGAGTACCAAGAGGCCCTTTTTTGAAAGCCCTCACAGGACGTGCGATATCCTTTGGGCCGAGCCTTTTCGATGCGTGGTGGCGCCATGCCAATTGACTCCATTGAACAGAGCAGCCCGCAATGACAACAACGCAGAGAGAGCCCACTGCACGGCCCCGCCACGCAAGATCAAACCACCAAACCACGCGATCCGCCCAAACCAATAGCAAAAAACCTGAGCTGACGGAGCGGCGCCAAAATCGCTTCCCAGTCGAAGCAAACCAAAAAAAACCTGGACAGCCCACCACTCCCAGCCTCTACACCTGCCAACGAAATTCCGTCGAGCGCCCGCGTAGCCTGCGCCCGCGCGCCGGAGAGTGGCTCCGCGCATGGCCCGCCCCGCGTCGACGCCTTCCGCGTGTTCTTGCCTGAGCGCGGCGACGCGCAGCGCGCATGTGGGCAGTGGATTCGCTGCGACTTGGCCTGCGCCCATCTCACGAGCGCGCCGCGCTCGCGCACGCGGCCGCGCGTCGGCGCCGCTGCGTGGCGCTGCAGTGCGACCGCGCAAACGCGCAGGTCGATGCGCGCGATGAATGCGACAAGCCAGCACCACGAGCAGGCTGAGGCGCAGCTTGGCCAAGTTCTCCGAAGCGAGCTCGGAGTGAGTCGTGCTGATGAGCTCAGCGCCCCTCATTGTTTTCAAAGCCTGGATGTCCTCGATCTGGCCCAACCCACATCCGCCGTCGCGCGTGGGAGAGCGACGCGCACCGCGGCATGCGAAGGTTCCTTTGCTGATATACAGCTCGCCAGTGCCAAAGGCATCCTTCAGACACTGGCGCAACTGGGGCTCTTCCTGCGGTGGTCCTGCTAATTATTTTGGTGTCGTCGACGTGCTTGGTGGCCAGCAGAACGAGCTCGCCTTCCTTGTGCTTGGCGATAAACACATTGTCGTATACTGTGGGAACGGCTCGGTGATGCGGGTGGACCGGCATTTCGGGGCATCCTTGCACCCGGTGACAGGTCCGAGGGCGGACTGTGCCATCGGGCCCCCGCCGGCGACGAATGGGCGATTGGGGGCCGATGCGTCTTCAGCATTGTGGATGCCACGACAATGGACACCCCTTAACAGTCCTATCATCGAATTATACATGTTTTCATATCGGGAAAATGTCCTG